TGAGCCACACATAGTTATTGAATGTGTGAAACAAAATAACAATGTTTGTTTTGTTTTACTAGTCTAACTCCAAAGAATAATTACCACAACAACATAGGAACACGAGCCACATCAGCTTCTTACTGTAAGAGATATGGAATGACTCTGAACGATGTTAAATAACCTGTATACTCTGAGTTAATCTACTATATTTCTATATTATCTGAAAAAGACTGCTTTTTATATCCACTAATATGAGGCTAAGTTGTATGAGTTAATAACTTGCAGCGTAAGGTACTTTCTTCAGTTGTTTTTCAGTTACATATAACTTGTTAGCGTGAGTACCCTGATTAGTTAAAATAGAAGCACACTATAATATTCATGTTCTCACTTAGAAGTAATAGATTTACAATTAGCACAATTTCATGTTATCTCTTTACTGTTGGGTAACATAGTGCCGTTAAGAAAATTGATAATATTTTAAAATTATGATGCTTGTATGAATACGAAAAAATATTAGATGAAAATGAGACTTGATAATTAGATTTAATTCCTGTATTTGCAGCATTAAGGGTTATATAAATTAGTTCAAATATCTCTAATAAGACTTTCACTTAGCTTCAAAAGGACTAAATTTGAAATATCTAACCATTAAAAACCCAAATATAAGATCACTGCGTTGAAATATGAAAACATTATACATTATCATATCTATTAATCTAGGCATTTTTAATCGTATTAACGCTATACTATGAAAGTCTGTCTTTTAAACGCGGGAAAGGTCTATGGTAATATATACAGAAGGTTGTTACTTTACAATAAAACTATTCCGATAGTGAACTCAAAGTTCAAAGAATGAACTCAGTGAAATGTGGTCATATCAAGACATGGTAAGAGTGTTCTTGACTTAGTTATAATGTAGTATTACCAAGACTACTTGTGTATAGCTACATTAAGATTGTAGCATTGTTATATCTATCTATATATATATATATATACAGGTATTTTAAAAGTTTCTATAACTTACTTATAATAAGGCAATATATGTTTGATACTTAGCTATAACCATGTTGTAACTTTGTGGCAAACAAGTTATCTGTAGCTGTAATATTACTAAATGTATAAAGTAAGTAATATATTGTTATAAAAAAGACAATTACTTACCCGACAAATACGACGCTATAGCTACTGTATATAAGCATAGAACGACTTTAATCCATTATGCTTTGGTCTTAACGTTTAAACTACTTTTAACTTTTCTTTCTCTGGAAATATGTCATGTTTTTGCAGTAGAATATCAATATCTGTTTGTGGGTCCTAATAGCATCCCTATCCCTAATAAAAGAAGAAGGAAGGGATAAGAGATTAGCCGTATTTTTAGGTTTCTCGACTAATATCACTTATTGCTCTCCAATGTGACCAGATGGTTAGGGCGCTCGATTTGCGAGTTCGAATCCCTGTCCCACCAAACATCATCACTCTTTCAGCTGTGGGGGTGTTATAATGGTGCTGACAATTCCACTATTCGTTGGTAATAGTAGCCCAAGATTTGGCGGTGGGTGGTGATGACTAGCTGCCTTCCCTCTAGTCTTATAGTGCTAAATTAAGGACGGCTAGCGCAGATAGTCCTCGTGTATCTTTGCGCGAAATTCAAAACAAACAAAGTCTCCAAAGTATGATGGATTAAACGTTTCAACGTGATCTACGTCATCCTCAGGAGTAACTTACAAGACTGTTTTAAAATTTCCCCTTGTCGCATTACTTCAGTGTTATTTACATATTTCCTTATTGTAACTGAAAAAAATATATAATATATCTCGCCATATATCAACGTACTAGCTTGCTGGTCCTTCATCTTTATTTAATACTTGTTTTTGTTTTTTATATTTCATTAATTCTAATGTTTCTCTAATATTTAATGATATAAAACTTCGAGGTTGAGCTAAAACTAAAGTTTTTTCCCATAATATTGTTGCCATAACTACAAAATTAGTTCCAAAATGATTATAGAAATTGTACACAGAAATGTTAAATAAATTCTAGACTTTTTGTTACATTTTATTTTATTGTATGTGGATCGAGATACACATCAAATACTTTATATTTAGCGTATTGTCGAATAGTTTAGAGAAGTAACATTTTTTTATAATATTTTTCACACTATGAAGATTCATTTCATTTTAAACTATGCAGATGTTACTTAATAGCTAATTCATTTGTACGTAGAAGGAACGAAAAGTCCAAGGTAAGAGCCGCGATATGTTAAGAACTAGGGATGACTTTGTTTGAAGACTGAAGCAACATTTTAACCTTAGCTTTGTTCTCTGAAGTAAACTTATCAGGTTCTTTAGATGATCAAACCAGTGTAACCTCATTGAATACTTAGACATTGGATACATTAGCGTATATTGTATATTAGACTGATATAATTTCATGCAAACGACTAAAGAGCCAACATGACGAGCCTTCAGTAACCTATAATTTATGAATATAAACTCTTCGAGGCTGGAATACGCTGTTTAAGATATGACTTTTCATAGTGTGCATTGCGATCGATTGAGATAATTGAATGAAGTAAAGCGGTATAAAAATCTTCATATTTATATTATTAATAAAAACAAAGAAACTGAAGTATCAGTAAGTTTAGAGATACTGTTATGAAATTAAACCAGTAATAAGAAGAGGATTTGCATATATTTTCAGAAATTGTTCTTTTTATCTGTTTATTGTCTCGGATACTGTTCCGTATATTAACTGGAGAAAAGAATAACTCATTCTGCCTAATGGTTATCGCCATCTTTTGAGCTCTGTTAATGGTGTTTTACATGTGTAAATTTGTCTTTACTCAGTAATATAATTAATCTCTGTAGCTGGCATCTTGTCATTATCAAGGATTAGAGATGTGCGTAGGAAAAGGTTTGAAGTCAGTCCTAATGGAAATGTGATACTCTTACTCTTTATTCTATAGTTCTGAATATGCTGTTCTGGAAAACAAATAGATTTTTGATGTTCACTACATGGAATATTTCAGGAAGCCAAGAAGGTTATGCATAATTGGTATAACTGATGAAATTTCGAGAATACGCGATAGAAGTTCTACATAAGAACCATGTTTAACATTTTCCTTATCATGAAAATGGAGATAATGTTATTAATCAAAACTGCATATTTTTCTTATTCTGAATAAGATTTGAAATTGGATTGATTTATAACAAAAATACCTTAATGTAAGTTTGATAAACCAACATAAAAACACAAAAGAAAACCTTGCCAATTTTCAATAATAACTGTTTCTGCTTTTTGTGTGTGTGTGTGAAATAAGAAAATTAACAACATGCACGCTAACTTCAAAGTATGAAAAGAAAACACATGAAGAACGAGAAACATACTTGAAAGATATTAGAATCGTAAATCGTAAATTGAAGTGACTTATATTAATAAAGCAAAACAAATTCATTAAGTTAATATCAGTAGTATAACTCTCGAACTTTCATTTCATTTCCTACGCCCATATACAAAACTTTATGGCTCTTTCATAATTTAGTATACCTGAGAAGAAAGAAAAACCTAGGTGTATTAATTTAACATGGTACGCATAGTTGCTCATTATTTGTAATATACAATAAATGATTTTCATTGGACGATTTATTTATTGTTTGTAAACATCGTAAATTAAAAGGCTCCCCACAGTATTGACTGAAAGCTTGTGTCCGTTGATATGAAGGTTTAGACACAAATAATTTTAAGATATCACAGATCAATAGACGAGTATGCTTTGTGTAATGTTGACTTTTAATGTTAAAGCGCTTCAGCGATATGGTCGTTAAAGAATTTGTAATCAGAGAAGAATACATTGTGTCTCTTCCCTGAGAACAAAAGCTGTAGAGATGTAGTTAGAGATATCCGTGTTAATATGGGTATCATTGTTATATAGATGTCGATATTAATTCACAGACACTTATTGAAGGACACCACGAACTACGAGATATCGAATGAACGATAAGTTGACGTTATTTTGAAGCAATTTTTGTAACTTACTGAAACGTTGCAACAGATAAAACAAAATAGTTAAATAAAAATGAAAAATCTGTCTGTGTAACCTCATAAACTGGTGCATCAGGCCTGAATTATGAGGTGCTTGTTCCAAGCGAACATTGATTCAGCAATACATTATTAAAATGGACACAATATGGGCGTTTTATATAAATAATACTGTAATAACCAGGTTTTAAGCAACAGTTAATCTTGTAATTACGTGTGTAACTCTGCATCAGGAATCTATTTGCATAAATTTTTTTCAATGTACTCGGATCTAAGTGCCCTTAATCTCTTAACTTTGATTTACAAAAATAATTCTTTTGGAATTCAATATTATTTAATGTATTATTATATTATACAGTTTATTCTAAACTTTATAAAACAAACTTTGTAGTTAATTTGTACTTACTTCATCAGGGAAATATTAAAACACATCGCATTTTCAGTGTTATAAGAAGGGTGAGTGACTTTTTTGGTGAAATTTGCACTCGATTTTTGTTTGTTTGTTTGAATTTATGCACAAAGCTATGCAATGGGATATCTGTGCTCTGCCCACCACAAGTATCGAAACCCGGTTTCTAGCGCTGTAAACCCGCAGACATACCGCTGTGCCACTGAGGGGTATTTGTACTCGAAAAAAATTTACATTTCATTATATCCAGGACGGAATTAACCTTGCTGATTTCAGAAGACTTAAGCTCACTTTTTCAAGTACATAGTTTGCTGCAACCAAATATTTTCAAACAAATGATACAAGTAGAGCCAGGTTATTCTGCAGCTTGTATTGTTAATATTTTATCCTGCCATTTACGCTGCTATTTATTCTTTGTCAATTTGCTTACAAAAAGGAAACTTGGGAGAAGCTTTTAGAAGTAAGTTTTAGCATAAATTTTCATTTTCTTTTTTATCCATTTTTGGATTCTACGATAAATATTTGACATAGGTAATAATAGGTATAATAATGTTTGTGTTTGCTGCTTTAGGCAAACCACGACCAACAGTTTCTTGGTGGAAAGATAATTCCTTGTTGGACAAAGACTACATTTTCCTCCCAGACAAGATTGTAGAGAACGTGTTAAACATTCCTAAGTTGTGGCGATACGACTTACTAACAAACCTAACCTGTCAGTCGTCTAACAACAACGTCACCGTTCCTGTGTCCAGCTCTGTCAGTATCGACCTTAACTGTAAGTTATGCTCCCATCGAGGAACTGTGAGATAAAGCTTCCAGACTTGTGTACCACTTATCTTGTTATGCGTTATTTATATCTTGTTGTAAAGCATTGTATTTATTCTGATGAACAAAACTTTCTCAGATAATACTTCGAATTAGTGGTAAGGTTCGCAAATAGTTTAGGAAATAGTAAGAACGTTTTAAAACAGTAAACTGTATTAATGTTAACTTTCATGCATAGTTCAGGAAATATTAAACACTCAAGATAATGCTCCGCAAAAGTGGTAAGATTTTAGTGCATAGAACAATAAGTAGTAAGAAAGTTCCAAGGTAGTATTCTAGAGTAGAAGAGGTAAGATTTGTGCATAGTTCAGGAAATAGTGAGAACGTTCCAGGATAGTGCTCTCTAGCTATCGTAATGTTCGTTCATAATTCAAAGTTCCAAGGTAGTATTCTACAGTAGAAGAGGTAAGATTTGTGGATAGTTCAGGAAATAGTGAGTATGTTCCAAGATAGTGCTCTCTAGCTATCGTAATGTTCGTTCATAGTTAGAAATTTAAAAGGTAGTATTCCACAGTAGAAGATGTAAGATTTGTGGATAGTTCAGGAAATAGTGAGTACGTTCCAGGATAGTGCTCTCTAGCTATTGTAACATTCGTTCATAGTTAGAAAGTTCCAAGGTAGTATTCTACAGCAGAAGAGGTAAGATTTGTGGATAGTTCAGGAAATAGTGAGTACATTCCAGGATATTGCTCTCTAGCTATCGTAACGTTCGTTCATAGTTAGAAAGTTCCAAGGTAGTATTCTAAAGTAGAAGAGGTAATATTTGTGGATAGTTAGGGAAATAGTGAGTACGTTCCAGGATAGTGCTCTCTAACTATCGTAACGTTCGTTCATAGTTAGAAAGTTCCAAGGTAGTATTCTGCAGTAGAAGAGGTAAGATTTGTGGATAATTCGGGAAGTAGTGAGTACGTTCCAAGATAGTGCTCTCTAGCTATCGTAACATTCGTTCATAGTTAGAAAGTTCCAAGGTAGTATTCTACAGCAGAAGAGGTAAGATTTGTGGATAGTTCAGGAAAGAGTGAGTACGTTCCAGGATAGTGCTCTCTAGCTATCGTAACGTTCGTTCATAGTTAGAAAGTTCCAAGGTAGTATTCTGCAGTAGAAGAGGTAAGATTT